GTCTGTGGACTAGGAATCAGGGGTTGGACCTGCACATGTTTAGGATTCCTCAGCTTTGGTCAATCAGCAGCTTCCTGCTGTTAATGCTGTAATAAACTAAAGATAAAGACGCTGGCGAAGGCTGATCAAATTAGTCATGAATTGTCCTTTAAAAAAAAAAAAAAGAGCACTGCCAAGTACTTGGAGCCAATTCCAAGGAACCCCACTGTTCATTCTAATAGTGCTTACGTTTTCACCAAACATTCTTCAAGTGCTGTGAAGATTGTGTGCAGAGTTTAACCACGTAACAAAGTCTGCAGGAACTACAGGCGTAAGTCAAAGGAATAGTATATGAACGATAAAGTAGCTGCAATTACAACGAAGGAACATCTAAAAGAAAAGTTGGCTGTTTTTATTAGAAGCTCCCATGTGGCTGACAAACTAAAATTAGAGATTTCCTCAAGGGATCTTGATGGGAATGTCTCTGTTTCTCTGGAACTGGATCTGAAACTCATGTCTTAGAAAGATGTAAAACATGTGACAGACCATGAGCAGTTGATGAAAATCTTTGGTGACATCAGAAGTCAACTGATGAGGAGCTCCATCTGAAACCTCCATTTTCTGCTTTGACAAAAGTCGTTTTCTGAATAGAAAAACCACCCACTGTCCAACAAGTGAGTGATAAACTAAGAATCCAAATACATGGGTTTGAGAACAGATGTCCAGTCCTGCAGCTGAGAACATCTGAGTGTGTGTGTGTGTGTGTGTGTGTGTGTTAGTCCACTTCCTCCCTGCTCATGTTTTCCATCATCTGCATGGAAAGAGGATGCTGAAAGGGTATGTTGTTTGTGTTGGTGTAAATATGTGTGTGTGTGTGTGTGTGTGTGTGTGTAGTGTTTTCATGGAGCTGTCAGATCCTCATTGAACCTGTTCCTGGTCATCAGACACAAACTTCTCCTTCTGACTGTTATTTTAAATCATGTGTTTTTTTTCCCATCTGGATTCTTTTATTTGGTTCTGTTTGATTCTCGGCCGTCACTGTTAAGCTGAGTATACTGAAATCATTTTTCTGTGTTTTTAGTGCTTTTTCTGTCCAGAACACACACACACACACACACATACACAAACTTTCCTTTATAAACCTTTTTAAATTTTCTTTAAGTTTAGCTAAGACAAACCTCCATCCTTCTGCCTCCATCAACAAGTTCAACTGGTATTCAGTTTAGGTCGACCTCAGTTACCCAAACTGACCAGCAGTGGACTAGCAGGTCCGCTGTCCTTGAAGCTAAAACCACAGACCTTCTCTATGGAACTATCATTTGAAACATCAGAGACACCCAGAGGCCGACCCAAGATTCAAGGACCAAACCAAAACCATAATACTATAAGTCCAGGATTCATTACATCTTAGGCTGGAACAAGAACGCCAAACAGACAAAAAGACTTTTTTACCGTCAGCACTTCTTCCGTTCATACTCTCAGAACTGGACTGTGACAGTGCCGACCTCCCACTCTTACGCAGTGGCCGGTTGATGCTGGGGCTTCCACCTGGTGTAGACGCCAATGCTCCATCTCTCCTGGAGAAAATCCCACTGAAGAAGCGAACCAAACGTCTGTCACTGGAGCGTCCTCCTGCTTCACGCAGCTGAAACCCACCTCCTCCACCGTCTGGCAGGTCCTTCTCGGCCACCAGTCGCAGCAGGTCGCTGTTGTCTAGAGTCCGGTTCTTGCCGCCACATGCTCTTTCCCAGCGATTTAGCTCTGAGAAGGAGGCTGTCTTGTTGAGGATGGCCCCCACCTCCAGCGTCCTGCTCTTCTGCCTGCTGAGATCATGGTGGGGAGGGGTTGGTGTTGATGGAGTTGCTGTTGGAGAAGCCACAGAGGTGTCCTGACCTCTGACAGAGATGGAACTGCTGTGGTTTTTGTCTTTAGAGAGGGCTTTTAGCCGCAGTAGCTCACCGCCAGTCCAGTGTCTGAAGCTGAAGCTCCGACAGAGGAGACCTGGAGTCTGCTTTAGAGGAGGTGTCGTCTCTGGAACAAGAGGTATTACCTCCTCACTTGTCAGAAGATTATCAGAGCTCTCCCTTTCCTCCATACTCTTTACCTTCAGGAGTCCCTTCTTCTTGTCCACATTCCTAACTGTAGCTCCGGAGCAGATAACCTCCCTGAAATCTTCTGAATTCTGATTTGTGGCCTCTCCCTGAGCATCCTGCTCTGCTAAGATACCGGTTTTCTTCTCCTTCAGCTGCCTTTTGGCACTCTTCAGTCTTCCCAGCTCCAGCTGACCAGTGCTGAAGGTTCTGAAACTCCTAGTCCATCCTTGGGTTAATGTTGCCTGCTCCTCAGACTCATTCTCCACCTCCCTCAGTTCTTCTAGGAGTCCACCGTTACTGCATTGTACCTCCACTGAGGTCCCTCTTTTGAAAGCACTCACCTTGGGGTCATCAACTTGTTGTGGTTCCGTTTCAGCGTCCAGACTCTCCCTCTTCACCAGGGTGAGGGAGATGCGGTAGACTGTTTTCCTCTGAGGCGTGCCTCTCTCCATGCTGTCCAAAAGGTGCATCCCTGACAGGGAACCACTAACTCGTCATCAGATCTCTTTTCTTCTACTTTGCTACAGCAATTGTAACCTAAAAAACCCACTCTGAAAAAAAACATCTGTGAGACTGAGGCTAAGATCCAGATGTGGACTCTGAGGTAGGAAGCACATTCTCTGTGGTTCCCAGTGGAATTTAAACTGGCAGTTGTGTCCTCAGCTTTTCTGTTTAAAATTAAAATCACTTTGACTCAAGGCAGTGAAAGAGTGACTGCTTCAGATCCTGCTCCTGTATCCTCCATTCTGGGTCAAACGTAGAGTAAACATTATCTTAGATCCATGTCCCGGACGGTGGTGTTTGAGCCGCGGCTCCCATTGTGTGTTTATTTCATCCCCCGCAGAGCAGCAGGAGCAGCAGCACTCCCCTCTGACCAGTTTCAGTTGTGATTTAAATGCTTCTTCTTTAGAGTAAAGCAGACATGCAGACTCCAGACCTCCTCCTCCTCATGACCGCCTCCTCTTCTGCCCCAACAACTGCCTTTCAAACCCGCAGACAGAGACTCACAGAGCGGCTGCCGCTGCCGCCTCCACTGTCCTATTCGCTGAGCTACTCACTCATTCTTGCTCTCTCTCTCTCACACACACACACACAAACACAAACACTGCCTAAAGCAGGAGAGGACGATGGTAAAACATGGCCTGTAGTCTGTCAACAGCACTGACCTGGATCTGAAGCCATGGTTCGTTTTTTGCCGGCCTTCTTTAACACATAAATGTAGAAATAACTACGAGCAAAAACATCAATTAAATTAGAAAATAACTTCCAGATAAACCTAGACAATACAATATTATACAACAAACAATAAATATTTGTTAAACGTTTTTTAAAATCAAATTTTACTTTTGTGTATTTCTAAGATTTTATTTAAAAGAAAGTCTGAAGATCACAAAATGCTTTGGATTTGTAAACAAAACCAAATGCTTTAGGGGGATTCTTACCGATTCTTAAGCTATGAAAGTGAAATAAATGATGAAAACACAGGTAACAAAAGAAACTTAAAAGTTTAACCAGAGGCAAGTTTAAACTCTCGTCAAATTTCATCTACAAATAATCCACAGAACAGAAAGTCCAGTCCAGGTTTAACATGATGTGGAGACAAGGAAGAGGGGGAGGGGCCACACACACAGATACACCCACAGGCACAGGAACACACTCACACACAGGGCTGCTGTCAGTTTATATTAAGCCATAACAGATTTGATTAAGTGTGAATTAAAAGCATTTACTTTTAGTGAATTAAAAAAGTAATCTATAAAAAAGGAGAAAGTGTTAAATTAGGTCAAACGAGAAACTGCTCAGATTAAAAAGAAACTGATCTTTTAAGGTGGTTTCAGATGTATCTCGATGGATCGATGGAGTTGGTCAGAGGTTTGATTTGTCACACTGATATTTAGAACAGTATCATATCGAGAGACAGTTAAAAATAACACGAATGTGGAGAAGCAGAAGGAGGAGGTAAAGTCCATGCTCCCATGTCCTACTCCTCCTCTGAAGTCAGAGGAGAAAGAGCAGGTTTCTACCTTAAACTGAAAGCAGAGGAGCAAAAGTAGGTCACATGACTAAAATATTAAAGATGAAATCAAATATGAATAGTCAGACATTAGTGCTGCTGCAGCCACATCATCACAATATGTACACATGTGCACGCACACCCCCCTACACACACACACACACACACACACACACAAACAAACATTTGCACACACAGATGTTGTAGAACAAGTTGAACGAAAAACACTGTTACTGTTTCACTGATGTTTAACAAACAAACAGACGTAACTGACGCAGCTGCAGATACTGTGGCAGACACGTGTTACAGCATGTGTATTGTGTTACTGTTTGTAAACCAACCGACCCAACAAGGGTCGGCAAACACTGACCGAGTTCTAATCAATATCAAACAAGGCTTTCAGTTCAAAATGAAACCTAAAAAAAGAAATCATAAATAATAAAATAACATTTACTCAGGACTAGGGCTGGGCGATCTGGACTAAAAGCCACATCTTAACATTTTGCCTATATGATCAATATAGATATGTTATGTAATTTACTCCTAAAGCATTATAGCATATTTGATTACTTTTTTTTCCAGACACAAACACTTTAAAAAACAAACTCTCAGTTATGACTTTAGGCAACATGCCAAATGTCATACAGGCATCTCTATTAACAGAGGTCACACTGCACAATATCAAAATGTATAAAACAAACTGAACAAAAAAAAAGGTCTAATATATTATTGTGAAATAAAAATGGCCTTGAATAAAATAAAACTTTCCTGCATGACAAAAATATACAGTAATTAGACCAAACACTCGGTTTTGGTGCCTTAATCATCAGATTTTCAAATTTCTGATGGTCACTGAACGCCCCCTCATTGCGGACCAACACTGTTTACAATTATTTTAATTTGAAATATTTAAAGCATAATAATGTGTTCATAGGGGTTTAATTACTTTTCAGACGGTGATTTTTCAAACCCACTACCGCAGGGACGTGCGCCTGTTACCTATTGTGCCTATGGGGCTCAGCGCTGTCAGTCATGTACCTCATTGCACGTCACTGACCCCTATCCCTATCTATATTTTTTTTTTGAGGAAGCACTTTGTTTTTATTTGGTACAACAACAGTGTCTGAGAATCAGGAACCAGGATAACAGTCTCTCTGTCTCACCGTCTCTTAAACACCGACTTTGTAGGAATCCAGGACTCCTCACAGGAAAATAACAGGAATTATACAAAAGATTATGAGGAAGAGGAAGCAAGGAAGAAAAAGGAAAGAGGAAGCTAACTAAATCTGGTTCATGACTGTTACCATGGTAACTGGGAGAGGGGCACAGCTGACTTGGTGAGTGTGTAATAGGGAGACCCATCTGTTTTTGAAAATGAAAAAATGAATAAACGGAATAACAATCTACACAAAAATAAAATTTGTATTTTGTTGTTAGGTCTGTGCTGTGATGGGGATGAGCTTATCAATACTTTTTTTTTTTAATAATATCATTCCGTTATCTGCTGTGGTTCTACTGTTGTCATAACCTGAGCTCTATCTGGCCCAACTCTAATGAGTATTGACTAGGGATGCACCGAATATCTGCCACCGAAAATTTTAGGCTGAAAAAGGCCCAAAAGTGCATTTTTTCGGCTTTAAGACAAAATGTGTAATGCTACAATTTTTAGACAGGGTGCATCTGCAAAGAATTTCTCCATGTCGGGTTTAATTTATCACCTGAAATCCAAAAATCCCGATCGCTATGTTGAATATAAGAGGAAGGATAGCCTCTTTTGGCTGCATACGGCGCAGACCAGGAGCTCCCCACGACATTCGCTTCATACCAGAGCATTTTCTCTCTTCTTGTCCCATTTGAGCAGCTAATTAAAGAGATCAGCTTCTCTGATGCATCTGCAGCAGATGTTATTCCTTTAATCGAGACGGAACATCGAGACAGAACACGGAGTGAAAACAATGAACGTCCACTCACAGAATCTGTCAGCACATGTTTCACTGAGATCTACTCGGATCCTCTCACGACTGTACTTAATCCACGTTCCAAAGATCATTACTTGGAGGCGGGAATAAAGCAGCGCACACGAGAAATCATCCAGCAAATGACTTAAATGCACTTTGTGTTTTTAATGAGAGAACATACTGTATTTAACTTTACAATCTATCAGAAGGCCAGTAGGCTTTATTTTATTTTATATTGTGCATTGTTGAAATGTGCTAAATATATATATTTTGTAATTGTTTTATTAATTAAAACATAAATGTTGTGTTTTGGGTTTTTGGCCTTGGCTTCTTTATTTTTGGTTTTCGGTTTAAGCCAAGAATTTTAATTTCAGTGCATCCCTAGTATTTACTACTTAACACATTCATTTGGAAAATATTTTCCCTGATGATTTTCTGACCCCAACATCTGTGTTAAATCTGGAAACAAAAACAAAAGAGATGAGGATGAAAACACTGGTCTTGTGAAAGTGTGTGTGTGTTTGATACTGAACGCCTTTCATATAAAACTAACACACAGAGAAGCTGACAGATCCTCACAAACGTCCCAGCTGAGTTAAAAGAGCACAGCTCTCTGCCTCCACCTGTTGGACCGCATCGATCATCACATTACAATGAGCTGCGTAGCAGATTTAACAATTCTCAAATGAAAAATGTTGGGTTCTTTGACGTTACAAAATCTCACTCGATCCGTGTTGATGTAAAAAAAAATGTATCTAAATGTATGAATTATTCCTAACAAAACCAATACATATATGTTTATTAATTCCTTTTTTTTAATCCACACTGACATACTGACATACATTCACACATGATTTTGACACTAGTTTGAACTCATTCACACTAATTCATGTTGGTTGAGACACATTTACTTTGGTTTATGCAGTGGAAACCTCGGTTGTCGAACGCCTCCTTATTTTGAACAATTTGGTTCACAAACTATATTTTTATTGTTTTTTTATTGTCTCAGATATTAGAAGTGGAAAAGTTGCTACCGATTTGGATCAATGAGAAGCAGTTGGCCGTCGACAGCAAAGCGAACATTGCGCAATCATGCCTCATGAGTACCAGTAAGGATGAATGAAATTGCGATTTATAACTATAGTCTTTATTCAGTTGTGTTTATCTTTTGTGTTAGATCTAAATATTTTCATTGGTTTTGTGTATTCTGTGAATTTTAATAAGTAGTCATCCAGGGTCCAGGAACCGATTAATCCATTTTGCATTGATTCCTATGGGGAAAATTGTTTCAGTTTCCGAACTTTCCGGTTCATAAAAGGCCCTCAGGAATGTATGAAGCTCGAAAAAAGGAGGATCCATTGTAATTACTTCTACGAGTTATTTGATTTGATTTACAAATTAAATTCTAGTTATTTACACTGTTTCACATTCATTCACACTGGTCATTTGCATTGGTTCACACTGATTGACATCAGTTATTCACTGGTGTTTACATTCATTTACACTGGTAATTCCTACTCTGTTGATGAAATCAACATATATTATAATATATAAAATTATATGTTGAAAATATAGAAACTGTTTCAGTTGTTTTGATGAGATCTTTTTTTCCATCCTCTCCACTTGTTCAGGAATTCTGGGAATTCCCACTCTCACTCAGTCTTCACACAAGCCTCATTTTTCTCCCACGATTCTTTGTTGACGGGGCGTTGCCCAGGGATCGGGTTTCCACTTTTTCCCTTGTCCCCTCTGTCCTTGTCCTTTCAAATCTCGTCTCCTCCTTCCTATTGCTGTCCCCTTGTCCTCAAACAGATTCTACATCATTCTTAACAGTGAATTGCGTCTTCAAAGTATCCGAAACCGTCAGCGTAAGAGAATTAAGAAACTAAACGGTTCTTGTTCTTTGGCTTAGAAAAGGATGCCCCTTCACAATTGTCTGAGGTTCCCAAGTTATAAAAACTGATGAAAACAAAACCAGTTCTTAAAGGGATGGTCCAGTTCCTGGTCTCTTTACAGACCCTGGTCTGATCAGGCTAATCAGATCAGCTGCTGCTGCCACTTCTACTCTACTTCGTTCTAGTGGTAAATTAAACAGTTCCTACATCATTTATGGATGATGGAGACCCGACCTAGAGCTGCAGGAGACCATCTGCTGATTTCCTCTGGGCAGAACACGGACTAGTTCCATTCAGTCCAGTATCCCTCAGTCCTCTGAAGTTTTGGATCCATGAAACAGGAGGTGATATCAGCACCTCGGGGTAGCCATATCATCCTTCTTTTCCACTTCTTCCCTATAGCAGCATATTGCCTTCAGATCCAAACTGACCCTGGTTTTCAGGCTCACAACAAAAAAACAAAACCAGTAAAAACCACACACAGACTGAAGACTGTATTGTTCTACAGCAAACAGGAAGGTCTTCTATTTTTATAGCTGAAGCAGATCCGTGCAGGACTCTGCTATTGTTCTTATGTCGTCAATGTCTAAAGCTTCCTGTCATCATACACAGAAGCTGCAGCTGCTGAGAATACGAAAAGAAGAAATGATTAAGGCAGTTTGACCCTTCAAGTCCACCTGTTACCCCTCACATCTGAAGAATATGTATATAAAACCAAGTCAATGAGTAGTCACTCCCTTTACTTTATATCATTTGGACAAACCACTGGAGACTCCACAATGTCGGCAGACAAACCACGGAAAGCCGAGACGCAGCATTATCTTGGTGCAGTACTGACAAATGACAGAGAGGATCCGTAGAGACTGAGGGAAAACTGGGTCACGTGTGGGTCACACATGGGACACATAGTGAGCTCACTAACTGTAGGTGGGTAAAAAAAAACAAAAAACAAAAGCAGCAGGAGACAAATGAGGAGGAGGAGGTGTGGAAATACAGAGATGGCAGATTAAATCTGTCCGGAAGATTAAATTATACTAGATAAAAAGATGAGAACAAACAGATGAATCTGCTCCAGAGACAAAAAACATCGGACAGATCAAGGCCTGAACCTGTCGAGGCCTTTTTTCCTCTCAGAGTAAAGAAAAATTAGGGCTAAACAATGCATTGTAATACCTTTTAATGTGATATTAAATGAAACTATATTGTTTATAAAGATGTATCTAAGCTTGCCATACAATTCTATTACTTAAGATGGCCAGTTTGAGTCTGAGTCTGTCTTAATCTTCATTCTGTTTGAGATACAACAAGTCTCTTGCAATGGCGGGATGCTTCCAGTTAGTGGGTGAGCAAAGCAAGAGAAAAGAGGGAGTGTTGAGCATCAGGTTACGTCCTGACAGAGACAGTGGCTCGGTTTAAACCTCTTTTCTGGCTATAAATGTTAAAATGAAACCTCTTAACGTGCACACTCGACTTTGGCTCTGCTTAATGCGGCGTGTTGAATTATAACATAAATGATGTGGTCGTAATGTTCATTTACGGTAAAGTCATTTCCTGTTGCATTTGCAAAACAGAAGAGGTTTGTGTAAAGCAGGAGGCAGCTTCTTTACACACTATTTAATTTTATAAGCATATTTTCTTTCTTCCTTAAAATAAAGAATGTAAGTGGCTATTTTTAATCACTATTTTACAGAGAATATAGAAATGTATATATTTAAGACCAAGATTTATCAGAAAATGACCAAGGTATTCCTTTCAGTCGTCTTTCTTTTTCTTCTCAGAGACAACTTTATCACCACATTAATAAACAACCCACCCGTGTCTTCTGCCTCCACTGCTGGTGTTTGACAGAGGCTGCTGCTACTGATACCACTACTACTGTCACTGATGTAACTGTCACTGTTGTCCTTTAAAGCTCTGGTTCATACAGCTGGCACTGCTGCTATTGTTATAACTGCCGACGATTTGACGATTACTGCAATCATTGATTTCATTACTGATTATGCTACTGATGTTACTGTATCTACACCTAGATCATCATATTTTTTGTCTTACTTCCCTACTTTCTGTATTATATTTTATTTAGCTGTTAGATATTAGTTGTTGTTGTTTTGTTTTTTTTTTGCCAAATTGGAGTAAAATATTTTGCTTTCAGTTATATTTTTTAATATTATAAACTTTAGATCACTTCTAAGGTGTTTCTAACTATATTTTTAGCTCACTTTCCCAGTTTAATTTCATTTTGTTTTGCAATGATTATCTAGTGTGACTTTTAAAACGAGTTAACAGTGTTCGTGTCATACAAACAGCATCAGAATGACAAAGATGGCTTCAACAGCAGTGTAAAATATCTTCACTGCCACCAACGTAAAAACCAGTGCTGCAGCTGCATCAGTGAAGCACTGGTTCTCTTCCAACACAAATATTGTTGTTGCTCAGAACACACAAAAGAGGAGCAGCAGCAGCAGCATCATCATCATCCATCGCCACATCAACAATGAATTTCAGTCACTTGGTATTTAAATCATTCTTCACAAACCCATAATTGCACAAAAAAAAAATCCCATTCGATGTACACCAAATTCAGCAGCTATAAACAAACATTAGGAACAAACTTAAAACACATTTCTACCTGTCCATACAAATATTGAAACAGTTCAGTGAAAGCTGAGCATTTAACACAGCACTGTGTGATAAAATCAAATGTCAGCACAAAAAAAGACTTCAAACAAGACCAGTGTAAATCATCCATTAAGTCAATGAGGTTTGGCAGAAAGTGAACCACTGTGCCCGTCTGTGGGTTTAGATTTGTGCATATAAAAACAGACACTGGACTTTTACAGAAACTGGTCATGGTTCACATCCACATTTGATTGTAACCATTTTCCTTTAGGGTAAACACACTTCACTGTCATTTCTTTTTAAAAATACAAATATATTCACAAGAACAACATCTACATTTAAGCTATTTAGTTATATTTCACAAACTCCTAGGTCTATCTGTGATAAATCTGTTCTTTGATAAGGTTTAGCGTATTCATAAGTTATATTTTGGAATAGTTTTATTTACATTCGTTTAACATACATGTAACTTATCGATATTTCTGAGCTGTGATTTTAGACTGAGAAGTAGCTTTTTTTGACTTTTGATTTTAATTTGCAATCAGCAACATCAGCAGATGTTGCTGATTGAAAACTAAAACTGCTTGTTCTAAAAACAACTATTTAATTCTGTGTCTTTGTTTGTCACCACAGTGGAGCACCAGAAACGTGGATGGTTTTGTAGTTCACCTACCTTCGATTGCAATGACGTGCTCCCTGATCTGATTCTGCAGTAGAGGCTCCTCCACCCGCTCCAGTAGCTCATAGATGGAATAGATGTTTGGATGCACAGACTCAAACCTCTGGATCTCATTCCGGATGGCAGCCGAGTTGGCCAAATGCTGCTGGTAGTTCATGATTGCCTATTTAAAAAATAATATCCCAGAGACACAATGGACGATACCTGGATAGCGTGGATGAAGGATGCTGTTGTCCCTCTGCTCCAAGAACAAGTGAAGATTGTTTGTTTCTTTAAAATACTTAGAAAAATGAACACACTAAATCATGATTTCCTTTTTTAATTTGGCTTTAGTCAGCCCTACATTGTCCAGACACTGGAATTATCGCCAGGTTTGGTGTGGAGGACAGGCTGTTGCTCCTTTCCTATAACGGTGCCTCTTCCACGGTTTGTCCCCGCTCCGCAGTCTGGTATGCGGTAGAGCGAGTACCGGCTCCCCATAATCTCCACAGTCCGCGTGGTTTACGAATTCCCACTTCTACTTCTTTGGTGCGTCTTCGAAGCAAAATGTACATTCATTTGTAGCACCAACTGACAAATATCGCTACAGGACTGGCTAATGCTAACCCTCTGTTAAACTTAACGGGCTTGATGCTACGTAGCTAATGCTATCTAGCCTTAGCTTCTAGGTTGAAAATAAACGGCCTTGTTAATGTTGCTAGACCGCTAATACTAAATGTTTGGGTCACCCACACCCCAGCGTTCTTAACGTAACCACTTCCCTGGTGTTAAAATTAGTTTTAAAATCACACCAGGGTCCGATTCCTACGCAGGAGCTGATTATTCTTCTGTAAGCAGAAGGTGAAGTAGGGAAGCGGCAAAGCCGCAACGGCGGTAGCGTCAGGAACAGTCTGTGGCTCTTGGTTTGGATCTGGTAGTCCGTGTTTTTCTGCTGCTTTACTTTTGCGAGCTGTCGTTGCCACCGTTAAAAAATGCGGCCCTGGTTGCGGCACAGAGAAAACGAGCAAATGGTTCGCCTCCAGGATGAGCGCAGGTGTTGTTATTTTAAAGCCTAAAAAGTCATAGGTGAGTCCGGCTTCCAGCTGGAGGAGCAGACCATCCTCCCTGACACTCCGGAGCTCTGAGAGTGAGTGTGCGTCCCACCGACGTCATTACGTCACACAACTCGTTCCACAAACAAGTGAACGTAGGAAAACATCCGGGAAGAACTTTCACAAAAAAGTAACCACATATCGACTTCCTATTCTTTTCAAAATATATTACACATCGCAAAATGTTTAGATATATTGTCCTTTTTCTTATTATTTGTTTATTTATTTTATTTATTTTATTATTTATGTATGCATTTTTGTATTTTGTATGTTTACTGTAGCATTGTTGATTGACTGGCTCAAATTGTAAGTCGCTTTGGAGCGTCATCTAAATGTATTGTAAAGTAATAAAATGTGTTATATATATATATGTTTAAATATTTTATTATGATATAATCATTATATTTATATAGTGATATATAGTGATATAAATATAATCATTTGCCCTGTCACAAAAAGTTACAGTTGGCTCAACGTTTACAAAAAGTGATTAAAGTAAATGTTTACCAAAACCAATAATCGTCATCAGCTGGAGAAAACAAAGTAGAGTAACTTGGCAGAGTTAGATGCAGGTGAAAAAGTATATAAACTTCATATGGTCCTTTACGATTCCCTCTGCAGGTATGTATAATGTGTGTTCCAGAAAGTGTGTCTGTGTGTTACCTCACTAACAAGTCTGACTTGTTTTATTGTCTGTGGTCTGATTCTAGCTCAGGTTAACCTGAGATGAAAGGATATTGTCACATTTTCTTGATCTTAGAACATTCTCAAAGGTCAAAGTTCAGGATGCTCTAGGAGTTGAGTTACAGTCCAAGTCTTTCGTCATTGGTGAAGACTTGAAATGTTTTTCTCAAGCAATTGAACTGTTTTTTTAATTTTAAGAATCGATCATTTGGTTTGAACTAAATGTGGTCACCTAATGTTTTTGGAAGTTTTACATACTTTCTATCTAAATAGTTTCTGTTAGATTTCATTTATTCCAGCTCCAGGTTTTTTGGGGCAGTCTGTTTTTATTTTATTTCACAGATGCCGCCCTCTGCTGGTAGCTGTAGCTTACATCAGCGTTTTCAGTCGCGTACAATAAACGAAAACGAATAAACATAAATTGTTGAAATTTGACAATTTGTTTTTGTTGTCGGAAACTTTGACCTTTATAATTTTCAATGATTTTATTTTGTGAAGGATTAAAATTTGTCCAATTTTACCAAAACGTTTTAAATGAAATAATTATATGATTAGTTACAACATTATTTAGTAAACCCATATAAAAACGATTAATTATTGGTCTTTTTTGTTACTTTCATTTTAATGACTTTTTTACATTTCTACATAAAACAATTTAAATTTATAACAACACCGTGAAACATTTTGACCTATCAAAAAGCACAGTTGAAGAGAAAAAATTCAGTGGTTAAGTTAATGTCAAAACTTGATTTTTCATCAATTTTTTTTAAATTTTCTTTTATACTTATCACCTTTTTATAGAATGGATTACACAAAATAATTTTCTTAAAGATTAAAAAAATAAAAGGTAATATTTTTGACAATTGAATATTTATTAGTATTAATATTTTAGGAAATATGATGCAAGATACTTATTCACACACACATACAGATACACAAAACAAAGAGACACACTATTTGATAGATTACAAGTTACACTGGGGTGTGTGTGTGAAGCATGTGAAGATCATATTTGATATAAAGGAGTGTTTGAAGTGTTTTCATATAATAACAGGAATGTGAGAAAAAAACGGCAAACAATAAAAAAGGTTTAAGGCACCGTGCACATTTCACTATGTACCAAACATCATCACTGAGATTTAGTTTATGTTGATGCTGCTGGTTCCACATCAAAGACCTTAAGGAACATCAGTGATATGTAGTGCTCACAGCACACAGGCGCTGCAGGTCCACTGCTGCCCACTTTGCTTTGTTTTGTGACTAAACTCAAACAAAAAAGAATTTATGTCACAAAATGCTCATTTGAACTTGGTTATTAAGGCAGCAGTAGGTAATCAACTGCTGTGTCACTGTGAGCTAAAATGACTGATTTTCTCTGTGAGGTTGGGTATTGAACAGAGCGTTATGGATAAACGTTGTTATTATGGTCTGTCAAACATCCACTCCATGAATGAGAGCGTGCATCACAAATGTAATGATTGTCTGTAGTTTCTTAATGTCTATATTTGGTTCTTTTTAAATAAACCTAATTTTTGTCTTTAAATAAAGAAAACATCAACAACAAGAACAACAACAGTGAAGAAAACTCCTACTCTCCAACAGTGAATGTGGAAGGAAATATTTACAAATGTGCGGCTGCAGTTCCTGACATTTTGAAGGGATTTTCAAATTAAAGTGACATTGAAGTGACATCCTCTGTTTCCAGAGTTCTCCTGTAAGCCTGCCTCTTTTTATTATTATTATTGTTATTACAACTATAATTATTCAAACTGTTGTTGCTGTTGTTGTTGAAGTTGTTGTTTTGCAGTTGTGTCAAGTCTAAGTCACAGTATACAACAGCGTTTCTTCTTCTTCTTTCCACTAGGGCCGTTCTTGTCTTTACTTTCTGACATTTTCTTCTTACGGACTTCCCTCATGAGGTCGAAGAAGACCTGCGAAAAAAACAGTTGACAGACCAAGAGTAAATTACTACAGAGATTGGATCTACACACATGCAACAACAAAAAAGCATGTTAAGAGGAACTTATTTGAAATTCATAAATTAATTAAATTAATTTTGGTTGACAGCTGGATCAATAAATATGTATTTAAGGTAACTTCAAAAACAAAAAGTTGTTTTTCATCTATATTTATCCATGCATTTGTCATCTGTCTACAATAGTCCAACTCTTTTGGCTCTAAACCCTGCAGTCTGGTTTGTTGTGGGTTTAACACCATTTACCTGTACCAGGAGTGTGGAAGCTTACAGTACACAAGCTCTAATATCTGTGCTCACTTCAACAAGATTTACACTGAGATAATACTCAGGGCTCGAACCACTGTAATTAAACCTTTGGTTTGGCAAAGAAGCCAAGCAATGCTATTGCTAGTAATCAGAACTTTAATCAGAAATTTAGAAAGAAAGTTGTAGCGGGGTTACACTGGGGACCAGCTCTGAGCTGACCATGGACCATGATGTTTGTACATGAGATTGTAATCGATGGTGAGAGTAGAGAGCAGGTGAAAGAAAACCTGGAGAGGTCAAGGTGTCACAGCAAGTGCAAGTAGAATACATGTGTGTAAATGAGAGTGACAAATGTAAATCTCCCTTGTTCATTAATAAATTATAGTCCAGAAAATTATATTGCATACCGTAGCAGTTGTGTGAGCCCTACTTTCCAACGGAGGGTTGCATTTCCCAGGTATATATTGTGTTTCTTGTCCATCTCATATCGTCTCTATACTTCTTAGTCTGTGCTACACTAAAATGCCAAATGATTGGCTCAACAGAGCCTCTTGATGACTATAGATGCAATGTTTTATTGTTAAATAATCGAGTATAGATTTTCTAATTGAATTTATAATTGTTCAAGAGGAACTGTATCACAAAAATGCTTAAAAAATAGAGGACGACCCCTCAACACTAGAGGTCAGATGGAAGCAGATGAGCCGCTGACGTAACCCCTAAAAGGAGCAGCAGAAAGAAGAAGGAAAAGAAAAAAGGTGCAATAATTGCCGTATGTATTTTTCCGTATTACACTGTCTGTATATAATACAAAAAACAATACATGTGGCAATTATTGCTCCTTTCTTACCCTTTTTCTGAACTGTAAAGCTTCATCCTCACCTTGTCTACATTGGCTCTGGTCTTGGCTGATGTTTCCACGTACTGGACTCCCCACTCATTGGCTTTGGAAGTGGCCTCGTCTGCAGAAACCTGCCGTCTTTCCTCCAGGTCTGACTTGTTCCCAACAAGGAGCAGAGGGATCAACTCCTCCTCCTTAACCCTCAGGATCTGCTCCCTAAAAAAAACCCCAATTATTTCTCAAAGTTCTATAAAAGTGTCCAGTGTAAATATCTACAGTTTTCCTAGAAATAAAACCACTTCAAATACAAACCTGAACTCTGATGTGGCAGTGAAGGACTCATGTTCAGTAATGGAGAAGACCAACAAGAAACCCTCTCCACTGCGGAAGTAGTTGTCCCTAATAGCAGCATAGTCTTCCTGACCTGCTGTGTCTAGGATGTCAATCTGGACATCTTCTCCATCCAGCACCACCTTCTTCCTGTAGCTATCAGCCTTAGTGGGTTCATAATCCTCAACAAACTGAGACCAGGACAGAAAAAAATGTTTAGCAGAACCTAAAAATCATTACTTGTTGGATAATGATGTTCTGGGGTCTCACCTCGTCATACATGAACTGCAGCGTGAGCGCTGACTTCCCAACGCCGCCGCTGCCTACCATGATCACTTTATGAAGAACCAGAGACGTCTGGTTCTTGTTCTTCCCTGACGCCATCACCCCAGTCTACCTCAGTCCACAAGCTCACAGCTCAGTTCTGTCAGCTTTGACCACCAATGACTGAAGACAAAGAGAGGGAAGACCAACATGAAAACAAGATGGTCCCGGAGAGACGGTGAAAAAGGAACATGAATGTCAGTGGAGAGACAAAAAAAGACCAGAAGAAAAAACCAGTACATCAGACAAGGAGCCAGAAGAAACCAGAGTAGACAATAAAGGAAGAACCAAGAGGTCAGTGAAGGGAACAGGAAGGAACCAGGTAGTCCGAGAAGGAACCAGAAGAGGCCAGGGGCAGGAGGAAGCAGGAGTTCAGAAAAGGAACCAGAAATGACAAGTAGGAACCAAAAAGAGGTTGAGGATTAAATATTGTATGCACTGAACATTTGAAGTCATTTTTGTTGAGATGTTTTCAGACTCACCAAGAGTTACAGTAAAACCTACTGTAGACCTGAAAGAAAGTGTAGTTTTATTTATTCTTAGTAAATTTATATTTATCAAACCTTTTCTTTTTCTAAGGTTTACTCCAGTGTGTTTTGTTATTTGTTCTGTGTTAATCTATTTTGCTAGATTTCAGCTAAATGAATAACCACAATATTATTTTTAAAATGATTTGTAATTTCTAAAGTATTAATAACAGAATGAGCTTTTTGAGAGGTGCTTTAGCGACATATGTGTAGGATAAATTAATCCAGTCTGATTCAGTAGTAGTGCTATATTTTTTTTACTATCACTAAAATCAATTAAAACGAACACTGATTTCATTTCTACAACTTTTTTTTTTACTTATAAGTTTAAAAACAGCAGCCTATGGTATGGTAGATGTTGACGGTTAGATAACGATTTGTTTACAGTATAAACACGGTGTAAAAAAGTGTTTATACTGGTCCTCTTACAGATAGGGCAGATGTCCTGTCTGTAAGAGGACGTCAGTAACATCAGTAGACGTGTAATGACGTGATGAAAACACACACAGTTTCTTCTTACAGTTTGCTGTGTCAATATCTTTTTGTCCACAGCTGTCAACTCTCCCAAAAGCTATCGACACTCCCCACAGTTCCTGCCTTCTCCACTTTTCCTCTCTGTGATTGGCCAGAAGAATTAACGGGCCTCGCTCTGATTTGCCACTGCGGCCGTCAGTCGTTGGCTGAGCGCTAGCCGCTAAGGCAGCGACAGATAAAGGTTTTTTTTAAAAACACATATTAAAACGCAGTTTCTGCGTAAACGGGGATACAAAAAGTAAGGCATAGTTTTTACAAAATGGCTAGTTAATAAATATAATATCTGACTCACCAACTGTGTTTGAACTCAGACTGTTGCTGTTAAGACAAAACTTCCACCAAGTTTAAGCAGAGTGAAGGTGCCCCACCTCACGCCCATACACTCACAGAGATCGTCTATGTACAACACCACCAGTCACTAAGAAGCCAGACTTTAACACACATACCTTACACAGAGCAAATGAATTTGGAAATACCAAAGGAGTGATACGTTTAGACATTTAGCTTCTTTGACATATGAGTCGGCAACATGAACCGGACATGACATCAGGGAATTCCATTTTATTCTTGATATGCCTTTAGATATTACTTTATTAGAATATGCAAAATTAGTATAATGCCTTTTAAAATGTCGGTTGCAAAACTAAATCATGTAACAATAAGAACGGTGCAATATATCGAAAGTTTTCGTATGCAATAGAACATTTATAAAATATTTTCCATACAACACTTTTATAGCCTTTCCTTTTTGTTTAACGTTTTAACTTTAAATTAAAAGTAATTTGTTAACTTACACATAAACACATCTTCATACACAACATATTTAATGATTATTAATTAAAATATAATTTACCGGTGGAACAAACAGTGTGATCAATAAAATTTAATCTAATCGAATATATTCATATAAAGCACACCTATTTAATTAATCCATTCAAGTGTATTCATGGTATAATAAAAAAGGTTATAATGTCTGTTAAGATAAATAAATACAACAGGAAAATTTTGCGCAGTTTGAAAGTTCTAAGGTTGGTGAAAGGGTGGTGTACTTCCCATCGTACAACAAAGGGGGGCGCTGCTTCATTTGTTTTTACAATGTAGCTCAGAGACAGCTGTTCAGCAGTAAGTTTAGATTTCAGTTCGAAGGAACCTGCTGTTTATAATAATTTGTTTATTTTTTATGTATGTAATATTTATCCAATAGACTCAATATTTATAGCATTCCACTGAACTACAAAATACATCGCTTGTCCTGTGGTTATCCTTATACAATGAACTAGGCTATTTATAAACTACAAGTTCATAAACCCTTCCTGTCCAACGCAAAGTTTATAGAGAAAAACTGTCATTTAAGGTCACGGGGTCAAATGAGTGGTGGGTCCACTGTAGTCTGTTTATGTCGCAAATGTAAAATTCAACAAATGATTGCAATCAATGAAGTCACATAATAACACGGTTGAATTCACTGATGGAGAGAGAAGTGAATCAACTGGTGTGTCCATGTGAACTGAAGTCACTTAATGAGTTAAAATAAATATTTTCATCCACAACATTATCATCTGGGATTAAGGATAAATACCTTCAGGGATAAGTTGTTCCTTCACAGAGAGCGGCAGCATTATTATTTACACACTGCCCTCCCCTGACTCCCTTGCCCACCGTGGCCCCGCCCACCGCTGTATAAAACGCGTGCATTTGCGCGTGTGGAGGCAACAAGGTCTCAGACGCCAGGATGGAAACTCTTCTGCTCCGTGCTGCTGGCACTGGCTTTGAATCTGTTACTTCTTCAAGAACTGGAACCGAATGTGGAACACCTCCTCCTTCTTCACCTTCTCCTCCTCACCATCTTCACCTGCGTCTTGTTCCTTCTAGGTTCAGTGGAAGTCAGGATTAGCGTAGTCTGGACTGAAGTGAGAATGATGACTATAGAAATAACGATGGTGTACGTATGCGTGTGCGGACGTACTGGAGTATGAACATGTTCCAACAGGAGTTGGCACCTCCTCTTTGCTCCTCTGGATTATCATTATGTTAGCACCAAGGGAGTCATTAAGAGCCTGGCACGCGTCCTGATGCACCGTGCGTAAAAGCGTCTCCACAACTAAGAAACAAACAAGAAAGAAACTCAGAAAGTTCAGGACATTAATTCATTCTGAATTAAAATGTGAACAAAGAACGGTGCTCCTTGTCTTAGAAACATCAAAGAGTGGAGTAAACGCCTCATCCTCATCCTCCTCACCATCTCCAGGTGAATCAGGGTGAATCAGAACCAACTCTGTTTCCAAACTTGTTTTGTGATTTAACCATAAAACAAGTAGAGAGATTTTTCTCTAAAAATCCTTTGCTTCTTCTCTGGCAGAAAATGAGGAGCAGTTTCTTTCGGCTGACATTCCTTCACCTTTACCTCCTTCTTCTCCTCCTGGCGTGCGTCCTCTCAGTCCGCTGCACTGCTGCTCCCCGCACCTCCTCCTCCGCCTCCTCCACCACCGCCTGCGCCTCTTGCAGCGCGCTTCAGCCGGAAGATCCAGAGACCGGGCGGCTGGAGGTGGACTTCGTGGAGGCGGTGAAAAGACACATCCTGAGCAGGCTACAGATGCGGGAACGGCCAAACATCACGCACCCTTTGCCCCGGGCCGCCATGGTTACGGCCCTGCGGAAGCTTCACGCGGGGAAGCTGCGAGAGGACGGCCGCGTGGAGATCCCGAACCTGGACGGAACTGGGTCCAGCAACGAGGCGCTGCTGGAGGAGAACTCGGAGATCATCAGCTTCGCAGAGAGAGGTGAGGGAGGTAGGGAGGAGAAGAAGTTTTTAAAGTTTTAATTTTTAAGAGCCACAGCCAGTAATATAGACTAGAGGCAACTGAATCTTGTCTCGAGTTTGTATTTTATCAGGTCATAAAAAATGTGTACAGCTCAGAACCTTCACAACCGGAACTGGGTCCAGCAACGAGGCGCTGCTGGAGGAGAACTCGGAGATCATCAGCTTCGCAGAGAGAGGTGAGGGAGGTAGGGAGGAGAAGAAGTTTTTAAAGTTTTAATTTTTAAGAGCCACAGCCAGTAATATAGACTAGAGGCAACTGAATCTTGTCTCGAGTTTGTATTTTATCAGGTCATAAAAAATGTGTACAGCTCAGAACCTTCACAACTTCTAAAAATTAAAAAAAAAAAAAAAAATCCTAATTAAAATTTAAAAACCCGAACCGCGTTTTGACAGATAATGCAACGTGTAAGAGAGATGACAGAATCTGAAACGGAATCCGCGCTCAGGGGAATAATTCATGTTGTTCCTGGTTTTTTGCTTTTTCTTTTTTGTTATGCTTTGATTATTTTTTTCTAAATTCAACAAAGATTAGGTAAGAACAAAATGATTATAAGGTTGTTAATTTGTAATTGGGGAATCGTTAAAAATGATAGAATCAGAAAATCATCGCTTGGTTTTGAAGGACCTGCTGTTAACGAGTCCGAAGTTTCTCTCTGGTACATCTGGTACTAAGACTTCACGAGAACTAAAACCTTTTATCTGGGTTTAGATTTTCGTTTATTCTTTAAAACCGACAGAACGTCTGACTCTAGAGATCATTTTAAAACACAGAAATGAGATTTAAATATAAATTAACAAAACAATACTAATGATTTAATTAATATGATTATTAATTTGCATATTCGATTCATTAATTTAAAATAACAATACGTTGATCTAATAATTAAAAACTTCCCAGGCCTGTAGGTGGTACCAAGAACGCACCTGAAAAGCCCTGTTCCATGATCCATATTTTCTGTGCATTGTTTAATATCAATGTAGCCCTGTGAACTGGGTGAAAACATTTTCACCAAGAAATAAGAGACACATTCATGGTGTCCGGAGACTGTAGTATTGCGAGGTACTGTGTGAATGGGCTTTTATTTTCTGGACATTCTATTGTTTCCTTGGTGAAAATGACAAGACAAATGTGATAAATGTAAAAGTCATGTTGAGCAGAGACAGGTGTCATGTCATGGGCAGATTATTCAGACCATTACAATATTAGGCTACAGGTTACAACGGTTTCCACTACATGAGTCCATGTAGTGGAAACTCCTTGAAAAGTACCTTTACGTTGTAGTAGAATAAAAATATATAAAGTATCATAGATATATTTTAAACTTTAGCAGCTCTGTACAGTACCGACCAGAATGACTTACTGTCTCTATAGTTATTACTGTCTTATTGTTATGTTATTGTAGTAGTAACACAGGAACACCTTGCACGACTGTTACTTTATTACCAGCTCGCTCACTCACTCGCTCACTCACTCACTCACTCACACACTCACTCGCTCACTCACTCACTCACTCGCTCACTCGCTCATCTAACATAAATCTAACAAAAACACCGTCATCATTTGACTTTGAAACTACTTTGACCAGCTTGTGTCCAGACTCATGTGACCCCACATGTTAAATTCTACTTTTGGTAAATCTGAATGGATGTTCTGCTCTTAGCTGACTGCTCCTCAAGACCACCTGCTCCAACGTTGACCCATGTTCTTCTGTGGACCCTAATTGTAAAGGGATATTTGTGTTCTTTTTGGTTGGTTTTGTATAGAACCTAAACATCCCCAACACCTACCTCCCAAGACCGCCACAGACCTGCTACTCACAGAAGGTCTTTGTATTGGACCATTCCATCTGAACCCTAGACACCAACGCTTGGTGGAAACCTGTTGTTTAAGTCTTCTTCTCCATTTGCAGCTGTACCTACTGAAGTGGCTGGTTAATTCAAATGTATTATTAGTCTTAGTCTTTTCAGTTCCTGTCGTGACCACCAGGAGGACATGTACCACATACGTATAGAGTTAAATCTAAGATTAAACTCCAAGTCTGTTTTGGAGTCCACCTGTTCCATCTCCAGTAGAACAAACACATTGGGAGACTCTTTGATGTGAGGTGAAACGTCTTCTTGAGAAAAGTCCAGTTGCCAGGACAGAACTCTTGACTGAGGATCTTCATAGATATCCAAACACATGTTTCAGAATGTAGTAGATATTTACTCCAGTTCCTTTAAAGCTATAAATCTTTATCTTTGAAGGTCTTGGTCTTTTCTTGTCCTCCAGCATTTGGACCCAGTCCCATCTCAGGATTTTCACTTTGGTCCAGGTTCTGGCTCTGGACTCGGCTGAGGTTCTGGTCCTCTGCTGCGGCTGTATCAGTCTGAGATGTTTTCCGGTGTTTTTGGACTGTCGTTGTGGTTTTGGCTTTGGATTGTGGTGGTGTCAGCTGAGGTTCTGATCTCTGTTGGTCTCCCGCTGTTTCTCTGTGTTTCTGGACTCTGGTCCAGGTTCTGGGTCTCTGTTTTGGTCCTAACACCACAGCTCTGAGTGTTTGCCATTTGGCCGGTTCTTATGGTGCTGTGTGGCTGCCAGTGCAGAAACCTGGCACTGATTCAAAGCTCAGAGGAACAATTCACTCAGAGGGAGGCTGAAAGTGATCAACGGCGCCACCTGCTTCATACAAACAAAAAGCACAGAACAGACACATCTGCCTTCACTTTCAACACTGACAAACATGACTGGTACTGTTTCCTATTTAACAATCTAAAAATGAGTCAAACTTACCAACATACAGTTCTATGGCTTTATATAGAAAGGCCACAACAGACTAAGAACATTACCAGGAGCTAGGTGTGTCTGTACTGCAGGACCGACAGGTAGCAGCGACTGGAGTAAGTTTACATTCAAAGCAGTTACATCACAAATGAAAATGATTCATGAATGATGGATGAGCATTAATGAGCTATTTACTGGACGTGTTTGTTTTAAGACATTAGGGGGTTAATTTGGAGTTTTTGCTTTAAATTCCAACTAGCCACAGGCAGCTGAGTGGCTTAGGCGGTGTGTGTGTGTGTCCGTGTGTGTGTGTGTGTATGTGTGTGAATCGCTTCCCTCAGTATAAGGTCACAGCTTTTGTGTCGGCTGTCATGCAGCATGAATACAGATTGATGGCCTAAAGTCTTCAGCCTGTGGCTCTACATTACAGTCATTGTGTGTGTGTGTGTGTGTGAGTGAGAGAGAGAGAAAGAGAGAGAGAGAGCGAGAGATATCTAAATACACATTATGTACTGTATCAACATCATTATGGCTAAAGTGTTTCTGTTTTCACTCTTTTTGGTATTTGCAAGTGAAGTTTGTAAAAAACATCATAGAAAAGTCAAAGGTTTTAGCTCAGAGATACACATCAGTTGTAAATCCATGGCCGCCTCCTTCACTAAGTCCAAACGCGTTCTATTTTGACTTCACTGTTCAAATTCTTCGTTCTTTTTACCTTAGTGACACGAACCACTGGAGGCAGCAGTGAACCAGCCTCTGCTGTTTTTCAGTTAGTTACAATAATAGTTGATTATCTGTATGAGCTTTGGTGTAATGGTAGATTCTGTGTTGAATTGTACTTTGACTCTTTAGGTTGAGCTGTAGAGTAATGACTGTGTGTTTGTAAGGTGGACAAGCTGCAGCGTGTCGAGGCTCGCTGCTGCTGCTGCCGCTGCTGCTGCTGCCGCCGCTGCTGCTGCTGCTGCCGCCGCCGCTGCTGCTGCTGCTGTGTTTGCCACTGTTACTACTTTTGCTGCTGCTGTTACTGCTGTCACTGATGCTGTTACTGCTGATGCTATGCTGCGGCTACTGTTCCTGCTGCTAGGAAAACTATAAAAATACTTTTCCAAATGTCATTCCTTCTGCTTTAAGTGCAGAAGGTTCACATTGCTTTTTGATGATTGACAGTAAGCTCCTCCTCCTGACAGCTGTCATTCAACAACAAGTTGGTGGCATGGGACAGGCCAGGATACATCACAAGAATGTTTCTGTTTCATTCATGACTTTTATCCCTTGTGTTCGTCTCCTCAGATGATTTGGTGACCTCCAAGTCCAGCTTGTTTTTTCTGATCTCTAATGAGGGAAACCAGAATCTCCAGGTGGTCCAGGCCACCCTCTGGCTCTACTTTAAGTTGCTGCCGTCTCCTCTGGAGGTACGGCCACGGAAGAAGGTGACAGTGAAGGTGTACTACCAGGAGCCAGGTCTGAGCAGCAGGTGGAACCTGGTTGAGAAGAAGGTAGAGCTGAAGCGCAGCGGCTGGCACACCTTCATGCTGACCGATGCTGTGCGGCTGGTGTTCCTGAAGGGGGACCGGCGTCAGAACTTGGACGTACGCTGTGAGGGCTGTGATTCCGAGGGAGTGATGCCGGTGTTGCTCCACCGCAACGACGAGTCACACCGACCCTTTTTGGTTGTCAAGGCACGACAATCAGACACAAAACACAGAATCAAGAAGAGGGGTCTGGAGTGCGACGGTAGCAGTAACTTGTGCTGCCGACAACAGTTCTACATCGACTTTCGAGTCATCGGCTGGAATGACTGGATCATCGCCCCACCGGGATACTTCGGGAACTACTGTGAGGGGAACTGTCCTGCCTACATGGCTGGCGTTCCTGGCTCAGCGTCATCATTCCACACAGCAGTGGTGAACCAGTACCGAATGCGTGGCATGAGTCCTGGTTCAATGAACTCCTGCTGCATTCCAACCAAACTTAGTACCATGTCCATGCTCTATTTTGACGACGAGTACAACATTGTAAAGCGGGATGTGGACAACATGATTGTGGAGGAGTGCGGCTGTGCCTAAAAGCTCTAATGAGACCCAATGACACAATTCCTGATAGTACTATAAAAACGGATATAAAATCAGGATATTTATGGACAATGGCAAAGTCCTTTTTACACACACTCATTTACATCTGCACATAAACTTGTATATATACATATATATTTATGTTTGTTCAGAGGTTTTTCTAAAAAAAAAAAAATAGCAGGAAGACTTTTCTGATTCCTTAACTTTGAACCAGATAAGAAACTTCCAAACGGCTAAATGTCTACTCTTTAAAAGTTTTTCTTGTCAAGACCTACAGGTCTGGTTAAAGAACAGAACCATAGCATCTGTCATACTACCGTTCATACTGTCCCTTACATGGGCTCAAACAAAAAGTTTACGATGCCTCCTTCAGGAAAAACAGTTTGTATGATAAACGATGACATCGTCAGCCTAAAGAAGGACCTGGCTGTAGACCAAATGTTGGATATTTTTTCCTTTAAAGTTCAAACATGGATAGGACATGATCAATCCTCCACCTAACATTTGACCATTCCTGTTTTTTCTGCGCATAAAAACACAGACACATGTATTGTAACTAATGGAAGTTCTTTTCTGATCTTCCAATAACAAAATCTGGTACAAAGGCAATAGCAAAGAGGCCCAGAGATCTTCCTCAGACTTTTCTCAAAGGTTTCCCTGGTGTTGGTGCTAAATCTTTGTCTAAATCTTGCATTGAGATCAGATCAAGACATTTGCGTTGGCACGTACGTATGACTACTCTAGTCCTGGCACCTGTCAAACCCTATAATGGAACATATATTTCAAGCAACTAACGCCAAGAAATGGACAGATCCTGAACGACCGGACACATTGTCTTCCCAACATGTTTGTGAAGTTTATTTCAAATCAAGAAACCAGCGAGTGTCATCAGGGAAAGGATGTGGCCATGTTGTTGTAAAAGTGAGGCCTTGCAAGCCAACTGAAAATAGGTCTCCTAGCTTTGGTTGAATTCTAGGATTATTGGGAAAGCAGTCAGGTTCTCTTGTGGTCATTTTGCCTCTGTATCAGATTACAGTCAAATTTCATCTGAATAATGTCCTATAATATGCATTTTCAGAATGACCTCTGTTTAATGGTGGCCTGTTAGGATCCTTTGCTGTGTCACTGGATTGTTCTGTCTGGTGGACGGATCGCCCTGGGAACCACAGCGTGAGTCAATAAAATGTCACGGTTCCAAGTCTGACCTGGTCTTCAGGCTACATTCAAAACACAAACCAAATCCAATCCATTTTACTATGAATCTGAATCCAGAACCTTATTTACATTACATTAATTTGGCATTTGAAGGAATCGTTCTACAGACCAGAACTACACTAATTCAAATCAATCCAGACTGGAACGTCTACAAGACCGCTTGCCTTTTCCTTTTTACTAACAGCTTTTGTTTTGACGGACCAAACTATTCCAGTGACTGTATCTGAGTGTGGTTGATATTCCATGATCTTGAAACTACAATTGTCTGAATAATCTGTTTTAGCTAATGTTTGGATTTTATTTTTAATCTTCTTGAACAAGCTTCTCAGTCCAAATACTTTGATAATAGCACTTGCAGGTTATAAATGCCTTGTACAAGCACTAGGGGGCTCTTCACTGCCCAATTAAACAATATTAATCATTGAAAGTGCCGCATGAGCTATGCAAAACTCTTGTCTGTACATAGAGTGATGAGCAGAGACAGTAGTGGGCGCCAGTGAGTCCAAGACACTGATGGGCAGCATAAACTGTTTAACTTAACCCACTTAGTCAGGTGGTGTCTGGTATCTACAATGTGGGACACGAATTTCAACAGGTCAATTACCGGTGTGACGGTGGTCAAAACACCAGGACTACAGCAAGAATGATTGACAGGAGCTACAGATAGCTCCAGCAACTGTGTTTATTTTGCTACATCAAGTGGTATCCTTATCTATGTTATTTCAGAGAAAACCCTGATACAAATGACTGAAGACAGAACAGGGAACCATTTGTTTTAAGATGTAACAGAACGTGTAAGTATCAGTAACACGTTACTCTGCCTGACACACAGACCACGACATGAAATAAAGCAAATTGGTGCTGGTACTGAGAGCTCCTGGTACTACGAGTGTGTGGAATTCAAAGGTCCTGGTATGAAGTCAATGGTACTACAAGTTTCTGGTATTAAAAGTTACTGGTACTGTTGCTGTGTAGAAAGGTCAGTCTCTGCTCGTTGCCCAGACATCTTCAAGCCAACCATTTTAGATGATTTGCACTGAGGACTAGAAATAAAATAAACTTTTAAAAAATTAAGAAGAAATAAAGAAGAAGCTGAGGTTGAATTAAAGGGAAAAGTTATTTTTTATAGAAATAAAGTGGAGTTTTGTTTGAATAAAGAACCAAAGAGGCTCAAGTTTAGTTTGTCTGATGTTTAAGGCCTAAGCACTGTATCAGGAACAGATAATCCTAATCCTAATCTCCAGCCCAGTCTCAGTCCACCATCTGATTAATGTATTTTTGTTATTTTGTATGTAGAAAATTTCGTATTTTTCATTAAAGGACTTGTTTTCTTATTTATGTTGTTATTTTTTGATTGAGATGTTTTGTGTTTATTATTAACCACTTCAACAAAATCTAACCCATCCCACGTGACAAAACTAGTCGAGTTCAGTTATGGACCACAGGAAACAACTGGTCTTCAGAAAGTAAAAAAAAAAAATACAGGTCTTGATCTTCAGGTCTACATTGATCTTCAGAAACATTCCACTCAGTTGATACATGATGGCAAAATAAAGTTAATATTTAGTAACTGAGTAACAATATAACCATATTTAGTGTGTAGAGGGTTTGTGGGCTACATTCAAATACATTTCAACCCAAACTGTCCCTCTTCTATAGCATGAGCGTGACGTGAGTTGAAAGACAGACACCCGATATCAGCCATGGTAACATGTAAGACGCTGTATACCAGATGTGGCCCATAATCCAGGCCACTGGACACTAGATTTCCGCCACTGCTGCCTCTTGATCAACACTCTGGATAGTTAACAAATTAAGACCATTAAGTTAGGCTTTATAATTCATGACCAAACTTGAGTGTGGCCCAAGGATCAGATCAGTGGTGTGGTCTGCCCTGCACAGATGATTTGAAAATGGAAATGACAAAGTCCCTTATTTCCAAAATGGTTTGATTTATTTCTCAGTTTAATTTTAACCCAGAGATGTGGTGAAAAATTAATGGAAAATTAAAAATAAATATTCAGTTGATTAATTTTCTTCCAGAGAAGCTTGAACCTAGAGGTGTGGAAAAACTGGTGTTTACACTTTTCCAGGCCATGTGGTTTCCCTTGATTCACCTGGAAAAACCACACACAGCGTGGATTTCCAGCTGAAGCCACAGGGATTTTCCAGCTGATGGTTATTTAATTAGAATATAAAACCACGTGACTCATTTTATCTACGTTGTTGTCAAAGATGTAACGTTTTAGCAAACATTTAAATGATTTCGCAACTTAAACTATTATTTAAACGTTTTACCATTTCATGCGTTAAAAAATGAAGGCTTTTGGACGCCTGAAACGAACACATTGGCTTCATGAATGTGACAAACGTCGAGGTATCCTTTGTCCGACATTTTTCATTGTTTTACTTTTTTTTTGGCTAATGGTAAATGTGTAGAATTGAATTATGGAATTAAGCTGCTCCAAGTATATTGTTTTAGCCCATTCATCATGTGCCCATGTTGAGACTGTTTGTTTGTTTACTCTGTTTCGTGCTGTTAGCACAAATGACCACTCAGGTTAATCAGAGCAAAACATCAGGGGTCAAGTGTTTGACCTGTGGGGTCATGACCTTTCATCTCTGTGGAGAGTCAAAGTTTGTAGACTGGTTTGCGCTCACACCCTTACACATGCAGTCATGCGCACACGCACGCACATGTGCATGTGTATTAGTGCAAGTCGAAAAGAAGAGCTTTAAGAAGAGCGAAGATCAAACTATACCTAAAAAAATTCAATACAGAAAAACCCTCAAACGAAAAGGAATTAGAGAAGGTAATTAGACTGAAGCAGGGTCATTGACCTCTGCTTGATAATAACCTGCTCTGAGAACCAAGACGCGACCACAGGTGGGAGACTTTTTCCTGCTTCTGGGGGTCGACACCTCTGATTGGATCAAATAAGATCAAAGGATGAAGCAAACTGAAACAAGTAGAAATAAGTCCATTATCATAAAATGGATCATTTTAGCTCACAGCGACACAGCACTTGTTTCTCCAACGCTGTCTTCAACCAAACGTCTCCTTTTCTGCCTTCACTGTTTAAACTTCCTCTGTTCAGAGCAGTTTCTCTGTGACCTGAAATTGCTGATTTTCTTTGCAAACTTCATTTTTGGAAAAGTGAGTAGTTTACAAAGTTGAGTTTTTTGTTAGAAAGGAACCTCTGCCAGCCAGACAAAGACATAAACAGATTATGAAGAGAATAACAGACTGTAGCTAACGTAGCTGAATCACTTTGTTAGGAATTTGTTTTTCATTCAGGCTAATTTGCAGTCTCATCACTGTTTACAACAGGTTTCAACACTGACTTGTTTTTGTTGTGTAATTGTGTTTTGCATTTCAGACGAAGGTGATTTGGCGATGAGCACTCCTGTGTTTAAACTATATCCTCAGGCTAAAACACACACACACAGACACGCACGCACGCACACACAGCATGTGTACTAATGTGTAATGGATGAGTCATAATCTCTCCCAGCCCTGTAACAAATTTGACGAGCAGCTCAGTTTAAATGTCTCACCACAAACCTGGAACACGGAGTCCTGATCCAGAATCTGTCACAGTCAGACACTGAGAGTGGAGCAGCAGCAGCAGCAGCAGCAGCAGCAGCAGCAACAGCAGCAGCAGGAACAGCAGGAACAGCCATTGCTGCGGCCCCCGGGGCCGGGGTAATTAACATTCCTGTGTTCTGTGGTGAAGCCACAGGATGAAGCAGCTATGAAGTGTCAGCTGACAATCACTGTCTGCTCCATCATCTCCACTTAATCCCTGCACGCGACCACAACAACATTGCAAAAACAGTGCTTGCAGGCAGCCGAAGGAAAACCTATAAATAGAAAAAAAGAAAGAAAAAGAAGCTTATATCATCACATAAATAATTTAAAGTTGATCAATGATTTATCAAACAGCTAAAAGTTAGCCTAAAGAGACAAAAGTGGCAAGCACAGAAAATGTAGAAATACTAGGGATGCACCAATACCAGTATCAGTACTCAGCCTGTTACTCATTGAAATACTAGTACTTAATAACATCTGCGGCTCCAGTCACCCAATAAGTGCAACGACTTACTGTACAACCAGCTGTGCACCAGTCAGCCAGTGTTATTTGTTTTCCACCTCCAGCTCAGTGTCTCATTGTCCTCGTGGGTAGTTTGTTGTAGTGGAGTGTAGATGAAGACAGGATCCAGACACAGACCAAGTTTGTTCACTGGAGGAGGCAGGAGACAGCGCTTTGAACTGAAATGCAAAAGCTCTGCTCACTTTCTGTTCAGTTGGCTGTGTTGAATTTTATGAATTTTTGAATTTTTTTTTACTTTTGGTTTAATGTAGAAATATTTGTTTCTGTTTATGATAGGAAAATAAATAAACATTAGCCTGCTTCGTGTCCTCGCGTTGGTTTATCCACACACTGCACATTCCTCCCATTTCCTACAAAGCAGTGGCAAGTACATAACAGTCACAACATAAGAAAACCTGAGGAAGTCTGAAGAAAAACAGTATCGGGAAGTACACAACTTGAAGTACTTGTACTTGTATCGGTTTGTAAAAAATGGCACAAGGGCAATGTTAACAAAACCTGATGCCAAACCAACAGTTGTACAGCTAAAGGTTAGCCCAAGCTAGCAAAAATAATTGCAAGATTACCAAAGAAAAAGAACGAGACGATCCAAACGTGTCGTGAAACTGTTGAACGACCCAGACACATTTAGCACAACTATAACCATAAATACAAGATCATGAAGTTTTCAAACCACTTCTTCTCCCATTCAAAAGTTCAAAACAAATAAGCAGTGATTTTAGCTCACAGACTGACAGGAGCTGCTGACCCACTGATGCCTCCTGTGGTTAGTTTGTATCACTGCGGTAAGTCTAAACGAAGGATGGACTCAGATAAAGGATGTCACTCAGATAAAGATGTTTGCGCCACGTTCCCACAATCCCAAAGCTGGGAATATTGGTGGGTTTGTCTGTGTGAGAAAATTCTGGGAGAAAGTTTATGCAGTCCCATAGGAGCTGTGGAATTTCAAGGCCGTGTGCAGGTAGCTGATATCAAAAACTGCAATTCAAGATGTGGACAAAAAGTCTTTGCAATTTTTTTTCTTAACACTGAGTGAGTGTCCTCCACTGGTAGAAGAAGAACATGAATGAGATTTAAAAAGTGACAGGTTTTGTGTTAAAAGAATCCTATTCTTATGGCTCATTAAGCTCCATAACTCAGAAAGAGAGACCTGTCCTCAGGGGAACAGTGTCTTTTTACCAGGAATCGTAGAATTCCACTGGAGCTGACATTAACAGGTTGAGGAATGTGCTGCAGGAAAACTCAGATCATAAAGAGTTAGTCCTCTTCATCATTACTGTTCTTCATCTCTCTCATCTCGCTGTAAGATAACCTCATCAGGGTTCAAGAAGATGCTGGTCCACTGCTGCCTCCTGTGGTCAGTATCTGAAGTCTCTGAAAGAATTATCTCAAACTGTAAAAAACATTTTTATCCAGTCAAGGAGGCAGCTGTTTCTCCGTCAGCTTAGATCAGAGATGTCCTCTGTGAAATGTTATATCTTGAAAAACTGATTTTTCTACAAACTTGGATTTGATGTTGTCATTCTTAGGCAGCCATCGTAGGTTCTACAACTATTATCCCTCTAGCCTTTTAAACTGTTCTTATCTCCTTCCCAGGAAACACACAGTTCTGATAAATTGCTTCTTTATTGTATGTCTTTGAAGAAACGTGTCATAAATAACCTTCAGCTCACACTGACAGTCTTGTGTCTCTGATCGACTGAGTATTGCTCCAGGGTTGGGGCAATACTCAGTCAATCATAACTGATCAGTCAAATCCTAAAACTGACTCTAAGAACGCTGCGACCTGCAGAGAAACTGACCATCATTAGTCAGGTGTCAGAGCTGTCAATCATCTCATAATCTCGTGTTTCATGCCACTCCAGACAGGAGGTGATGGACGGAGCTGCCACCCCGCCCAAGGTAAAGAGACCGGGAAGAACGCAGAAAAAAAAAGGAGCTGGAAATGCTGTGTGCATATTTTTGATAAGTGCTCTGGAACATTCCAGTCATTCTCCACCATAAACTCCTAGAGAAGCGGCAGCGGCAGATCAGTGTTGGCCTGCTCTGCTGCACCACTTGTCCTGCAGATGATCTTCCCGAATCTGACTGTGAAACCACGCTGAGCATGTGTAACAGTGCAGAAGGTACTTAACGCTGTTTACGTCTCAGGAAGAAACCCTGGTTCAGCTGCATCAGCACAGACCGCAGATACATTCTTGACTTAATTTGGTTAAAACTGCAGCTGCAGGTTCAAACTTCCGACGTGAAGAACGCTCAGTTTTGATCCAGAGCAGGTTATGACTCACAGGAGACATTCACAACACATATTTTCATTCAAAAAGGTTTGAAAATTTTAGGTTTGAAAACAACCCAATCACAGACACGTAAAGAAACTCTGACAGAAACAGGAGCGTGGTTCCTGTGGGTCTCTGATCAAATGCTGCCTCCATCGCTGAGTTAGTAAATAAACTCAGTTGGTGTCAGTTGCTGATTGCATTGTTTGAAATTCTTTCTTCAGATTGACCTCAGTGGAACAGACTGACCACAGGACGCAGCAGTGGACCAGCAGAGCCCAAGAAGAAATTCCTCCGCTGCAGCCGAGGTTCACCATCTAACAAATCCAACATAGATGGAGAAATGTGTGTGTGTGTGTGTGTGTGTGTGTGTGTGTGGAGGGGTCACATTGTTGTTCCCTAAACGTTCCAGATGGTTAGTTAAGCCAGAGATGCTGACCTGCAGAGTGACGAGCGTCTTCCACCTCATCCATATTCATGAGCAGAAGATGGAGAACAGTGTGAACAGAACTCATTAGAATATTCCAAACACTGGGGGTTGGATGGGAATGACCACATTCAGGCTGATGAATATTCACAAGGTTAATCTGCAGCCGTTTGTCAGAGGAATTCATGGCTCCGCCCACAATCAGGGCCTCATTCATGACTGTACAGTGACATTTTTTTGAGGAGAAGTGATTAAAAACTGAGGCTGATCTTTGGGTTTCTAGGTCAAACAGAGAGAGAGAGAGAGAGAGAGAGAGAGAGAGAGCAGGACAATCCTGAACCACCTCGATCTGGACACATGAGGGACAGGACACACCAAAACACACGACGACAGGACACACCAAAACACACGACGACAGGACACACCAAAAACACATGAGGACAAGACACACCAAACACATGCGGACAGGACACACCAAAACACACGACGACAGGACACACCAAAACACACGAGGACAGCACACACCAAACACATGCGGACAGGACACACCAAAACACACGACGACAGGACACACCAAACACACGCGGACAGGACACACCAAACCAACAAGGACAGGACACACCAAAACACACGACGACAGGACACACCAAAACACACGACGACAGGACACACCAAAACACACGAGGACAGGAGAAAACAAACACATGAGGACAAGACACACCAAACACAGGAGGACAGGACACACCGAACACACGAGGCCAGGACACACCAAACCCACGAGGACAGGACACACCGAACACACGAGGCCAGGACACACCAAACAAACGAGGACAGGACACAGTAAACACATGAGGAAGGGACACACCAAAGACACGAGGACAGAACACACCAAACACATCAGGACAGGACACACCGAACACACGAGGCCAGGACACACCAAACCCACGAGGACAGGACACAGCAAACACATGAGGACAAGACACACCAAACACAGGAGGACAGGACACACCAAAACACACGACGACAGGACACACCAAAACACACGACGACAGGACACACCAAAACACACGAGGACAGAACACACCAAACACATCAGGACAGGACACACCAAAACACACGACGACAGGACACACCAAAACACACGACGACAGGACACACCAAACACACAAGGACAGGACACACCGAACACACGAGGCCAGGACACACCAAACAAACGAGGACAGGACACAGCAAACACACGAGGACAGAACACACCAAACACATGCGGACAGGACACACCAAACCCACGAGGACAGGACACACCAAAACACACGAGGACAGAACACACCAAACACATGCGGACAGGACACACCAAAACACACGACGACAGGACACACCAAAAACACATGAGGACAAGACACACCAAACACAGGAGGACAGGACACACCGAACACACGAGGCCAGGACACACCAAACACACGAGCACAGGACACAGTAAACACATATGGACAGGACACACCAAAAACACATGAGGACAAGACACACCAAACACACGAGGGCAGGACACACCAAACCAACAAGGACAGGACACACTCAAACACACGAGGACCGGACACACCAAACACATCAGGACAGGACACAGTAAACACATATGGACAGGACACACCAAAACACACGACGACAGGACACACCAAAAACACATGAGGACAAGACACACCAAACACAGGAGGACAGGACACACCGACCCTGCTGAGGGGGACAGTAATAAGACACAGCAAAACCACAGAGCTGGTCAGACTAGAACACACATGTCGGATATGGCAAATACAACACACCAACCTAGGACCTCATAGAACAGTGTAGGACACACAGAAAGACAAAGTAGGACAGAGCAGGAAAGGAGGAGGACACATACTGAAAAGTAGAACCCAAACAGATAGAGTGGGAAACAGCGTACAAAAACACAGCACACACTGGACAGACACCAGAGACTCAGGGTGGTATGGACCAGGGCGCGGAGGACAGGACACACCACAGCAGAAACACACAAAAGATACTTCATTTTTATTGGCACTACTAAAGGTTAATACCTTTTTTTTAGGGCCAATAAAACTGCAGAACCATTGCTTTAAATTTGGGAAAACTTAAGAACCTTTGTTTGGTCCAAATGGGACACTAAGACAGTACTGGTAGGACTGGGACTTTTTCCTTCTCTCTTTTGTCTCCTTTGTCTTTTGTCAGTTCTGTTGTCTGAACCACAGGGTGATGAAAGTAGGACAGATTCAGTTTTTTATCTGGGTGTGTGTGTGTGTGTGTGTGTGTGTGTGTGGGAGGGGGCGCAGTGAAAGAGTTTCCTAATGAAGCCTTGTTTTCTCTCCTTGTTTCTACTAAAAAATCCACAGTTATTTCAAGTTGAGCGAAAAAAAAAAAGCAGGGCAGTCTTTATCTAAACCAGGACAGCGGTCTCTGTGGACCACCATTCTCTTCTCTTCATGTCCCTGGTCCTGATCCAGGCCCATGGCCTGACTGGATCTCTGTGTGTGAGAGGTTAAAGTTCTGCACAGCACCTGAGGTTCTGGGTCTCCACGCTCTTTGGTCTTCAAGGCTCAGCCCTCAGTCCTGATCTCCTTCACGTCTAAACGGACCTTCACAGAAGGGGCAGTTCTGCTGTCAGGGTCTGAGGTCCACAGAGTACGGATGTTGGAGAGGGTGAAGAAGAAGAAGAAAATGGAAACGTTCTTTCTACGATGGCCCTGAGGAAGGTCAAGATCTGTTCAAGATCCCCATGTCTCACATCTGGGTTCTAATGTTTTATATCTGTCACAACAAGAATCAGATCTTTTCACTAAAACTCCTTATGTTTCAGGAATAAAACAAACATCCTCACTTTGTATATGGACTAAAACAAGGAGCCCAGCTTCACTGTTGGCTGAGTTAGTAGGAGATTTCTGGGGATCGATTTTCCCAAAAGTGGCAAAAAAAAAAACAAAAAACTTTCAATATGTATTCTGAGCAAATGTTTTCAATGTTTATTTTCAAGCTTTTTTAACTTTACCTTAGGTTGCCTTGGTTCATTTAAGGTGTATTTTCCTACACTTTTTAAAATCAGTTTTCATCAGTTCTTTCCTATGACAACTACAGTCCAATCATGTCCCTGCACAGTCTGCTCTTTGTTTTGGTTCCACACCTGTTCCAGATCAGCCTATTTGTGTGTTCTTTTTTTTTTTTTTTTTTTCTTCACCTCACCTGCCTCACTTCACGGGTCAGCAGTGAGCAGCCGACGGGCCACTGTTTGTGAGGTCTAGTTGTCAGGGCAGCTTTAATCTTCTGGTATGAATGACTTCATCAGTTAAGAAGGTGCTTGAACAAAAAAAACTGTACCACTGCTGTAATTAAGAGGCTCAGGAGAATTTGTGCAGCAGCACAAAACTCCATTATGGTCTTAAGGTGGATTTGGTGTTGGATTATTTTTCAGTATTTCTACACCTTAAAACATATTCACATTTAAAGCTGACTGTGAACTGAGAAAACATGAGCTGTAGGACCGATGAGTGACAGCATTTGTTGTTTCTGGGTTGGAAGCTGAGTGGACATCAGCTCAGCTCTGCAAAATCACACAGAGCGCAAGAAAAGAAAAGAAAACTGTCACCCACAGCACAGAACCTCTGTTATTTTAGCTCAAAGTGACGCAGGAGCCACTGGTCCACCGCTGCCTCCTGTGGTCAGTTTGTGTCACTGAGAGAAGGGTAACTTGTAATTACCAGGTGGACGTTAGCAGTTCTTTGCATGGATTCCTAAAAGCAGATAAATCCCTGAGTCCAGTAGAAGGCGCTGTGCTCACCGTCTCAGTGTTCAGGTCCTGCAGGAAGGGGGTCCCCATCAACCCCAGGAGGCCCCCCCTCCCCAAAACATCCTGATGGAAAATACACAAGACATAAATTTACACTAATTATCACAAATTATCAAAGTCATTTAGCACAAGAGTTAAACACAAAACACTCTCTCTCCCTGTGTGTGTGTGTGTGTGTGTGTGTTTGAATAAACACAACTTCTCCCTATAAAAAAATATTTCCTGAACTTAATTAAATATTTAAGTTCACTTTTTTTTGTCACTTCTGGTAGACTGTGAATAATTTCAACTCTTTGTTGTTCTATTGTTGCTCTTTATTGTGTATTTTCAAATGTTTTAATGCATATTTCCAAGTATTTCTGGACAAACTGTTATAAAAGATAAGTTCAAATGAACTTGAACCAGTCCAGCTGAATGGATTTAAGGTAACCAAGAAAAACTTACACTGAAAGAGTTGGTCCAGAATCAGAAGAAGTCGATGGTCCATAGGAAAGTAAGGAGACAGAGGAGACAAAGTGACTTTGGTGGAGACACTGGTGAAAGACATCAGGCAGAAACGACCAATGACAGAGAGACAGGAAATTAACTCAGACACAACAGAACAACAGTGCAGAAAATTTAAAAAATCCCTTGTATTTCTGGTCTGGGATTACCCCCAGCAGCCTAGGCCTACAGCAACATAGAAAAGAAAAGCTCAGCTTTACCTGAGACAGACCTGCATGTAGGAGGTATCACAAACCTTTCCAGTTTTCTGGGCCAGTCAAGTTCAAGTTCACCCCAGTCCAGGAACATCTGGTGTTACGTTCATTGGTCACTCACGTTAGTGTGAATGGTCGTGGTCTCTGATTGTGGCCCTGTGATGGACTGGTAAATGTCCGGGCTTTACTCCGCCCTCATTTTGCTCCTAACACTAAAAAGAATTAAGCAGTAGAAGAAGAATAAATGAATAAGAGCTCTGTGGTCTGTGGTCTCAGTCTTAGGTCATCTATCTTCTGTCTTCTAATCATAATGAAGGAAATTGACAGACAAACTGAAAACAGCTGCAGGTCTAAAGGTCAGCAGAACCAGGTGAGACACCTCCATTAGGGCGTTGATGATGGAGCAGGGCTGAAGGAAAAACACTCCCCGCTCCTTCCCTCAGAATTCCACTGCACACCGGAACACAAAGGAAAGCAATCAGGACATTTGTTATTGGGGGGCCTCTGGGGACCCCTCATGGTGGAGGAGGCCCTCGTCCTGTAGGGCCAGAACACCCGGAGACAGTGTCTCCATCAGATGACAGCGCCCCCCTACAGGCATTCAACACCTCCATTAGGGCGTTGATGATGGAGCAGGGCTGAAGGAAAAACACTCCCCGCTCCTTCCCTCAGAATTCCACTGCACACCGGAACACAAAGGAAAGCAATCAGGACATTTGTTATTGGGGGGCCTCTGGGGACCCCTCATGGTGGAGGAGGCCCTCGTCCTGTAGGGCCAGAACACCCGGAGACAGTGTCTCCATCAGATGACAGTGCCCCCCTACAGGCATTCAGCAGCATTTCTCTGCTGACTCAGCAGTAATACAGGCTGGTAGTAAAGCTGTGGTAGGTAACGACGAGAACTGGCGACTGTTTTCACCGCATGAACTCGAAATACTGCTAAAAGCGATGCATGGTCACATGACGTGACAGGATGAGCTGAAACAGAAACTGCAATGTGTGCCTGTAGCACTGCAGTTAACACCAGCTCTGAACAGTTCTACTACAGACTGTACTCAGGTCAGTTATCAATCACAGCAACAACAGCCTCAGAGGAATGGTCCGTGGTTTTTGATCTAATTCAGTAACTGATACAGACAATCATGGACTGGACCATGAAACTAGTTGTTTTTGTCAGTGCAGTAACCCGATCAGAAACTAGAAACAATACCAGGAACTGTTCATCACAGGAACTTGTTGTAAGAACAGTAACAGTACCAGGAGTTTCCCTGTGAGGTTGTACTCATGACCAGCACGAAGAGGACAAGAATAAGAATCAGAGTCGAGGACAGCAACAGGATCATGATCCAAATCAGTAGTTGATTTTAAACCAGATTCAGGTTCGAGAAAAGGATGAGAATTCAGATTAGAATTAGGTTCAGGACCAGGTTCCTGATTTTCTGATTTGGATCCCCATCAGGATGAGAATCAGTATCAGATTTAGGTTCAGGTTCAGACCTGGGGTTAGAAATGGGATCGGGTTCAAAATAGGAATGAAGATTATGATTAGAATTAGAACCAGGATTAGGTTTGGGATCATGGATTGATTCAGGATTAGGATCAGAATTAGACGTAGGTTTGGGTTCAGGTTCAAGTTAAGGTCACAGAGAAGGAAAGTGAGTTGGAAAAGTTAAGAAAAAGAATGGGAATAACAGAGGGCCTGGTTACTAATGCACACAGGCGAGGCCAAAGTTAAGAACTACTCCGTCTGTGCTGGGAATAACAAACGCCTGGCTCCATGCTGCACGGACAATGGGCTGATGGGGCGTGCTGCAGCAGCTTAATTCCTAAAGAGCCAGATCGGAGCGCTGCCCACTTCTTTCAGTGCTGAGCAACAGTTCTAACAGGGATAAAAACTGTGAACGTGTCTGGTTTTTTTTTTCACAGGAATCTCCCAAAACCTCATCGTCATCATCCGGTCCGTGCTCCAACTCCCAAAATCCTTATTTCAAATCTCTGCTGGGATTTAAGTCCGATTGGGATAGGAGTGGGCGTGCTAACGTCAGATTTGTGGATCAGCAGCCAGCTCCGATTCTGCTGCCGCAGTAAGTCGGATTAGAAAACAGTTTAGACGTATTTGGCTGGGAATAATTTCGTCTGTTTAAAGGGGGCTTTCCCAAGTCCATCAGAGTTCTAAAAAACACAGCTTGAAATGTTTTGATTGGTCTCAGAATAAAAATCCCCCAGACCACTGTATTTGTATATTTTCAGGTTGTTTTATTTGTAGAAGGAATATTTCCCCTGCTGAGTATTTGAGATTTTCCACATAGTTTGTCCAAGGATTTGTTTTCAAATAAATATTTTCAGCTGTAAACACTTCTTCTAACTTCTAACTTCTAACAAAAGTTCAGGAGTTACTCTCTGTCCCGCTCTAAAAATGTTGGTTGTATGGTGTGTCAATTACATCAGAATGGATCATTTTTAAATATGAAGTTTAATAGAAAATTCAGTTTGATTCCACGTTAAGTTTCTCTCTGCTAATGTGGAATTAAATTCTTTTTCTGCACTTCATACCTTGGATTCTTCTACATCTCGATGTTCTCTTCTAGTTCTAGATCTTGTTGATGTAGATTGTAAATTATTTCTGTACAGTCCTCTGTACTACTGCAACACAATCATTTCCCCAGTGCGGGGTCAATAAAGTTCAACCTCAACCTTAAAAGCTCTGACTGTTTAAGTTGTAAAGAGGATGGACGGCCTGGGAGCTGAGGCCAAAACTGTGGTGATTGGACAGTCATGAATAAAATCAGGCTAAAACGATGATTTAAAAGTGAAGTTTGGCAAACATAGAAATACAACGCTGGAGGAGAGCTACTGGTTTTAGAAGTTAGAAAATGTTACCAGTTGAAGAAGTGAAAGACTACGTCATATTTAGTGTCTGTGATGAATGAACCCCACAGAAGATCAATGGTAAATAAAAGGAAATAAACAAAGGATGATTGATGTGTACGCTGGTCTTTCCTCTGTGATGGGCGGAGCTTCATTAGCATCACAATCCCAGTGGGAAGAGCAAACATTTAGCTTTCTCTGTTTCAGCTCAGCAGCTGCTGTCACCTCACTGTCATCTCCAAGAACTGTTCTTCAATATGGATCTACAACAATGAAGACCAGGACCAGGGACGCACCAGTGAGCACAGGAAGTCCAGGACCTTAAACAGGAAGTGATCCTTTCACAGCAACAACATTTCAGTCTGCAGGTTCCCATCAGGTTCTCAAGGAACCACAACTGATGCTGCTGAAAAATATGCTGCTGAAAAGATTTAATGGTTAATTCAGTTCCTTCAACAGTACCAGACCAGCCAATGCATTAAACAGTACCAGTCACTTTCTACAACAGTAGCAATATATTTAGTAATGTACTGTATTTGAGAGGCAGGTACTAGGTTCCACAATTGTTGTGCTTTTTTGTAATATTACAAAAACTATGTTCAGTAATAGAAACAAATTGCATTTACCGTCAAAACTACTGTGTGTGAATCAGGACTCAGGACTGATGGAGTCTAATCCCAACGAAAGGATGGAGGTTGGACAGAGGTCTTAATCTGGTGTTGGGTTTAATTGAAGAACAATCTTCTCTCTGTCCAAGACCAAATAATAATAACAAAGGAGAGACACAAAGAAGACGTGGAGTAGACAATAAGGAGAGATGAAAAAAAAAATCAGAACGTACTTGTGAAGGTATTTTTCTCCTCCTCTGGGTTAACCTGGTTTCTGCTACTGATAGAGGTCTATTTTTGGGGTAACTGGGGGGGTGTGGTTTATTTTGGACTCCTGGTGACCCGTCTTCTCAGCCCCAGGTCTGAACGTGACCCAGTTTGACTTGACTTTACCCATTCAGGGAGAGTCGTGGCCCGGGGCTGCGCTCTGCTATAATTCAAGAAACACAGTCAAACACAACTACACACTTGAACACACACACACACACAGATATTTGCCTACCACACACACACTCACACACCCTCACCAGCAGCACAGAGCAACACACACACACACGCAAACTAAAACGTGCAAACATTGGACAAAAGTCAAACATCTGGAGTTCATTTGTCAAATCCTAAGAGCAGACCTAACTGTGGGCATTAGGATGTATGTGGATATAAGAACGAAACAAAAAGTCACAGCCAAGTCAAGAATCCCACCACCGCCTGCTGGATAGACCACTGCACCGCTAAATGTTTCTGGAACTAAGCAGCGGAAAAAATGCCTAAATCTTTTCCAAAGAGGTCCAAACAGTTCCTAACAGATCCGTCTTCTGTCCTCTGACTCCTGGTCTTTCACATGACTGCCTTGGTCTTCAAAGTTCAGATCCTTGAATGAAACTTGAGTCTGCGTGACCAATGCACTGTTGGGATTAGTACTGGTGGTTGAGGCCAGTTGCAGCTCCTGGCTATGAGTGACGCTGTAGAGAAAACAAAAGTGTGAAAGGAAAAACCTTCTCCAAACCTGGAGGTTGGTGGAGTCCAGCTCTAACATCTAATCCTGGTCTTAGAGGTCTCAGCTGGGACACAGTCCATGTCTTCTGTTTTATTCACAGGAAGAAAGGCCTGGGACCGAAGGTGCCAGGAACATAAGAGTCCTGTGACGGTTCTGTTGGAGAAGAAGTCTGGACCGACTCTAATCAAAACACCTTCTGGTGGGTGAAGTCCATTAGCTCTGAAAAGAAACATTGTCAGTCCGACATCAACAAAAGTTTAAACATTGTCAGTCCGACATCAACAAAACATGGAATGTTTTTAACAGCTTAGACAAATATAGAGTTTTAGAGATTTTTTTCTACTCAGTAAAAAGGTGTAATCTGGTCCTGGTCCTGGTCGTGGTCCTAGTCCTTGTCCTGACAGTCGCTCTGTTGTTTGTTCTTAGTGAAGTTTTGGTTTCTTTACTGGAGCTGAACTGGTCCTTGTCCTGGTCCTGGTCCTGGTCCTGGTCCTGATCCTGGTCCTGGTTCAAATCATTGTCTGGTTTCACATGTTTACTGGTATCATTTAGATATTTTTGGGGCTAATTGTATCCATTCTGCTTTGACTTTGTTTTGGCATAATGTCCATTAACAGTTGTTCATGTGGCTAACGTTTAGCTTTGGCTAACGTCATTTGAAATACCAACGGTGATATCAGTATCCATCTGCAGCCTGGATTACAGAGCGTGGACTGATTGTCTTCTTCTGTTTTCTGTGGTCCATCTGGGTAGAGGGAACTTCATTTTCCACTCATTATACTGTAATACGAAGAGGAGGAATACTACAGAATACTGTAGTTCTTTAACAGGACTGTAATAGAAGTACAACAAAGAAAACAGTGTCCTCAGACAGTTTGGAATAAGAGAAGGAAGCAGAGAGAGGACCAGTAGAGTTCTCCAAACAGTACCAGAAACTATAAACCATTAACTGTGTCCATCATGGATACCAGTACCAGGTGCTGCAGGTACTGCACTGAAAACCATTGATCTTGTAGTGGAAACACAGTCAAGGTTCCTGGTATTGTGCTGTACCTAGTACCCATGTTCCAGGACACATTGGCGACTCTATGGAACTATTTTTTTTTA